AAAAGTAAGGGAAATGGAAAAAAACATATTAGCCCTTCAATCAAGTTGTTAATTTATATCCCTCAAGGAGTTTAGGAAGCTTGTTAAGGCAGTGTCCCTATCCTCCGTTTTTCCAAACAATATTCTCAGCTAAATTAAGGCAGGAAAGAAAAGCTGAATCTTGATTTTCAAAGATGATGATTCTCCTTCTCCTCCTCTTCCTCCTCCTCCTCCTATTCTAGTTGATTCTAGTAATGAAGATAAGTGTCAAAAGAGACTTAGAAGCCAAAGTGTACTGAAAAACAGGACAAATGATACATTTGTCGTCTTCTTCTTCTTCTCCTTCTTTTTCTTCTTCTCCTCCTCCTCCTCCTCCTCCTCCTCCTCCTCCTCTCCCCCCTGAGTGGATCAGATAAAAGTAAATATTTGTACATCAGAACAAGCCGTTCTTCAGAAGCTGCCAGCTCAACCACCACTATCCTTACCAAGGCATTCGTTCCATGAGTATGCAGAGGTCAGCTCCGTTGAAACACTGCATTCCTCAAAGCTTCCTCATCTATATTCATAAATACAGAGATCCTGGTTCAATGCTCATGTGGGAAGTTACCCCCCTATCCTAGAGAGTGAAATATTTGGGGGGGGGATATTAAAAGAGGCAAAATATTGTATTTCCCCAAAGGAAATAGCCCCAATCTTCCTGCCGTAGGAAAACAGCTTCAAACGAAGAAGCTTGACGAGGCTGACTTTTAGGAATGCACATTTTGTATCTGTTCAGAAAGACTGAACCAATCTATTCATAAACAAAACACCTTCAGCCACAGTTCACATCTAAGGGTGGGGCTGATGGGATTAAGAATGTACATCCCCCCCACCCAAAGTCTAAGGACAGGGCACGACCTTTAGGACATAATAGGATTTACCCACCACTATTAGAATAGCCAAAGACACAAGGCTCACTGTATTGTACAACCCCTCTGGAGCATCTCAATCACCAAACCCCAGAACCCTATAAGAATCCATATTCTATTCTTGTCAACCAGTTGGTGAGTCCCAAAGTGTCTGCCGAATAGCACCACTGTATGTGACAACCCAAACAGAAACTGGCACAGTTGCAACATTCTCAGGTCAGCAGCTTGCCCTCAGAGGACAGCAGTAAAGAGGAAACAGTGGTGGGATTCAGCCGGTTCGCACCTATTCGGGAGAACCGGTTGCTAACTTTCCAGGCAGTTCGGAGAACTGGTTGTTGGAAGAAATCTCCTTTTGTTTTTCCCCACTTACAGGGCTAATCCTGTAAGAAAGGCAGGAAGGAAACAATCTGGGGTTGTTTCTAGCCTCATCTTTGTTGACCTGCTTACAGAAACTGTCTCTCCGGTTAACCCTGATTGCATTGTAAGAGCTAAGGCGAAGCGCCCATCGACAGGAATGACGTTGAGTTGGCCAGACCCACCCAGTCACGTGACCACTGAGCCATGCCTACCCAGCTGGCCATTAGGGCAGAGAACTGGTTGTTAAATTATTTGAATCCCACCACTGAGGGGAAGGGATATAATCATCATGAATGTTCTTTTGTCAGCATGTTGCAAAAAGACTCCCACAAAAGCAACTGGAAAAGGACTCTCAATCTGATAAGACATGCACACAAACACAAAGATATTTGAATAAAAGGCCCAGTGCTGCTGCATTCGGACTCATTGATTTACTAGCTGAAGGACAGTGTCCGTGTGCGTCCGTGTCCGTGTGTGTGAAGTGTTGCACATTTGCAAATGCAGAGAAAAAGAACAGGATCCTCAGTTGAACAGTGTTGCAGTGACACACAGATTTAGCCACCTTTCTTGCATTGAAGAACAATTGTCCTTAAACTGTTTGACCCAGCCTACTTCCCCCTTCCCCTAGCTAGATCCAGGGCTCGGAAACAATCAAGGATCAAGTGTACCCCGACAGAAGAGAATATCTGTAGCAGCGGTGTTGTTCCTACCGGTTCGGCCTGGTTCAGCCGAACCGGTAGTGACATGCTGGCCTGAGTTGCAGAACCAGCAGCAACCCAGGCTGGCAATGCCCCTGAACCGGTTCCCCGGTTGCCGCAGTCGCTGGCACCATCTTGTTTTTTAGTTCTGCGCATATGCAGAACAATTCCTATTGAATTGTGCATGCGCACCCAGTGTGCACCCAGGGCAGGAGTGCACGCGAAGCGAAGCATGCCCACGAGCAAACCGGCAGTAACGCCAGATAGAACCCTCCCCTGATCTGTAGCAGAGTTGAATTATGGAGCCCTTGGGTGCTCTTTGAACCTTAGTTGTTTTCTGGCAGGTGTTTCATGATCCAATTAGATAACATCATCAGTGCAATGTGTTGTTGATGATGTTGCTTAATTGGGTAATGGAGCGTCAATAGAAAAACAATCCCAGATGATGTTATCTGCTTGGGTAACGAAACGTCTGCGTGAAAACAACCAAGTTCAGAGAATACCAAGGATCCCTCCTGAGTTGCTCCACTACCTTCAAAATATGCACCAATCACCTGATTGGGATAATTATCCATAGTTTAAGACCATTGAAGTAGAGACTTGATCAGAGCTGTTTCAAAGCTTGTGTGCATGTCAGTCAGTGGTGGGTTCCGGCCAGGGGTGGGGTTCTCGCCCCGTTCCAACCGGTTCGGTTGGAACGGGGCGGGCAGCGTCCTCGTGCACGCGGGCAATGCACGCATGCCTACTAGCGCCTGTGCGATTCTCCAGCTGCTCCTGGAGGATCGCGCAGCCACTGTATGCGTTCTGCGCATCCGTGG